TAATGTCTCTAATCAGGACCACGGCACCTTGAGACAGCTTAAGTTCTCCATAACCCCCATTCAGGGTTTGAGTATGTTTGGATGACGCAACGGCGCTACTTATTGGTTAAACAGAGACGGAATCATAACTCAACCATCTCTGTCTTCAACCACCATCTCATTGGCTCTCCCTCTCAGCATCAACATCCCCAGCTCCCTCATTCTGTCCTGCAGCGGTACACCAGGATGTACAGCCCAGGGTACTCTGGTAAGTTTGAAGCCTCGTGTTCTCACTCAGCTGGCTGAAATTTACTGACTACTGAGCGACATATAGGATTGCCATGGCGGCCGCAGCTGGAGGTGACCTCATCCATATATCCAACAAGCACCAGCCCCCTCATGCCCCATACATCAGCCACCCGTAACATCCTGGAGCTGCGCATGTCGCCGACTGTGCCCGGGCAGCTGTCAAAGCTGCCAACGGCATCTCCAATGCCTATGCTCCAACCCGGCTAAGTATCACTGAGAGATGTAGCACCCTCCATTTTAGAAAAGACATGTTACCTGCTATCACACTGTTGAATTACTGAGCTAATTGCATTCCCAGCACCGTGACATTTTGCCTATGCAGCTGGTGAGTACAGCCATTGCCTCCCTATGATATATCTGTATATTATTGCCTGTTGTGTATGTAGTACATGTATAAACCATCATAATATGTTTATTTTAAAAGATTTGAGTGCTATTGAGACCAGTCAACGGTCAATATGAAGCCCAAGGATGAGCTGCTTGGTCGCCTGTCCGGCGCCTCAGTAGCCCAAAATGGTATATTGAGCGGACATTGCGGGCGCCTTGAGATGCCTCGGAATAGAATGTCGGCGCTCAATACTAACGTTCTTTAATTAAGGGCTTGCAATGTCCTGATCTCATTGACGCCTTGACTTGCCTTGAAAGGCATTTCAAGGGGAATTTTATTTTTCCGACAGAATCATTCGTGTTTTTCATCGCCACGATGGTGCGATGCCCAGGACAGCTGAAAAATGAAGATGCGCAACTCTCTATGCTACTCTGCCAGCTCCGAGCGCGCGATCACGAAGTTCCGGGGCAATAACGTTTGATATGTGCCTAATGGTTGTTCGATCCCACATGACTGGGCCGCTCAAGTATCACGACCGCGCGGTCGCCGACGCTTTGCGCAAGGATTCGCCATTGTAGGCCCTGACTTTGAAATGCGTGCAATGAGCCTGCAATCATCATTGATCCATCCGACGTTCCATCGCGGCCTTGGTACGCCATGGTCCTGCCATAGACAGCTCTTGGGCGCGAATCGCTCCAGAAGATTCCCAGATGTTGGGCCAGACTTTTTCGGGCCAGTTCTTGGAGAAGGGCTTTTAAGTGTCTGCATTCGAGGGGCATCGCGAGCAAGTTGGAATCGACGACGCTTTGGCCCCCCATGTCCGGCCCCAACGCCCTCGCTGATCTCCCCGTCCTCCGAGATCCCATCGAGCCGGCCTACGCTGATGAGAAGAAGCCCGCCCATGATAACGACGTTGTCGATAGCGTCGCACACAAGGCGGAGACGGGGTCGTCGTACGGCAAGGAGTCTTCCCTCGAGGACCTCTCCGATCGCGAAGGCGCCCTCTTCGTCAACGGGGAGCCCGTCATCCGCAACGGAGAGGATGTGTCGAACTTCTTGTTTGACGTGAGGGACGACGGAGATCCAGCGTTGACCTTCCGATCGCTCTTCCTCGGTACTTTGTTTGCTGGCTTGGGCGCCGCGATGTGCCAGGTGCGTTTACCATTTCCTCATCCACTTTGGACCTTAGGTTGACACTCGGGATAGATATATATCTTCAAGCCATTACAAGTGGTCGTGTCAACTGTGTTCCTCCTTCTGCTGATCTACTCCGTCGGCAGCGTGTGGGCGACATTCCTCCCACGGGCGTCATGGGTAGAGAACACTCGGTTCGCCCGGCTAGCACCCGTCCTGGACTTCATCAACCCCGGGGAGTTCCGGCTTAAGGAGGTGCGTGCTGTTTCTCAAAACTCAAGCATCAAAGCCGCGAGGCCGACAGGAGACATAGCATGTTATAGCATCCCTGGTGGCGTCGACGGCTGCTTACGGAAGTACCGCAGTCAATAATTTTGCCGTACAAAAGGTGAGATTCCTTGGCGTTATCCTTGTATCTAGACTGATTAGCGCTCGCTCAGCTTTATTATGACACGAACGTCCATGCCACCACTGCCATTCTGGCAACATTCTCCACTGCATGCTTCGGCTACGGTATTGTAGGACTTTTGCGTCCGCTTACTGTGTATCCAAGTGAGATGGTGTACTGGGCGGTCAGTCTCTGCGCACCTCTCGCGAGATCGCAACTCATTGAGTGTCAACAGAATCTGCCGACGGTATCTATCTTTCAAGGTCCGTTGTCAGCGCGTGCTTTCTGCAGCAAAAGCTAACGTACCCCACCCACAGCGCTGCACTTTGGGACCGAGGGCAACAAGAAACGAGTGAAGCTCTTCTGGATGGCTTTCACCGGCATGTTCTGCTACGAGATCTTCCCGTCCTACATCTTCCCCCTCCTCAACGGTTTCAGCATCGTCTGCTTGTCGACGCAGCACGCACCTGCCAATGTTCAGAATATCATTACGAATCTATTTGGAGGCGCGGACGCTAACGAGGGCCTGGGCTTCTTGTCGTTCGGATTCGACTGGCAATACATTACTTCCACGTGAGATTCCCATCTTCCAACCTTGAGGCCCTTCTGGTACTGGTACTGATAATCTCCGGTCACCAGGTCTATGAGCTACCCCATCGTCCAGCAAGGTACGTTCACCATCTACAATGAATACATGTTCCGCACCTCATCTCGTGCACACCCAGCTAACTCTTGGTTCGGCATCGTTATCTGCTACATCGCAATCATGGGCATCTACTACTCAAATATCTGGAATGTACGTCATCTGCGAGGCATCCTTCATCTGTCGTTCCTGAAGTCACTGTCACCAGTCCCTTACCTTCCCTATGCTCTCCACCTCGCTCTTCGCCCAGAACGGAACCCTGTACCCGCAGTCGGTCGTCTTCGGCGACAACTTCACGCTCAACCAGACTGCGCTCAATGAGGTCGGGCTACCTGCTCTCACTGGTGCGTCCTCTATTCTTCTATCGATGATCCGTGGCCTCAGACCCGTAACACAGGTTCGACCGCATGGGCGAACCTCTGCGCCAACCTCGCGATCGGCGGCCTGATTGCGCACTGCTGCCTCTTCTGGGGCCCGTACGTCGTCGAGTCGTTCAAGCAGGCCCGCAAGGGCACCCAGCCTGATCGTCACTGGCAGGTATGTGGCTGCTTGCGCTCCGTGACGGGTTCCGCAGGTCTCACAGACCGTTCGTCCAGGCTATGCAGAAGTACGACGAGGCGCCGTGGTATTGGTACGCCGCCCTTCTGGCGTTAGCCTTCTTTGCAGGTGCGCCCGTCCGTGCCTTGACTGCTTGCAGATCTGACCGGGGCGGAGCCAGGATTGATTGTCGTCCTCAAGGGCGAGACGACTCTACCGTGGTACTCGTACATTGTCGCTCTGCTGCTCGGAGGTGCGCAGCCCCTTCCTCCGTCCTAAGTCATGCTCTTATCGGAACCATAGGCCTCATCACGCCGTTCTCCACGCTCCTGTACGCCCGCCTGGGCAACGGCATCGCGACACAACAGCTGATGAAGATGGTCGCCGGCGCGATCAACCCGGGGAAGCCCGTCGCGAACCTCTACGTGCGTTCGCCGCCTTGCCCGTTCTTCGCTGGATCGTCCGCTGATCGTGCGTGTGTAGTTCTCGATGTGGAGCCATGACGTCGTCTCGACGTCCATCAACCTCGCGGGCGACCTCAAGATCGGCCAGTACCTCAAGATCCCGCCGCGCACGATGTTCCTAACCCAGGTCTGGGGCACGATCCTCGGCGCGATCGTCAACTACGGTGCGCCGGGCTGCTCTCCCCTGTCTCGGAAGCTGATCCTCATGTCCCTTTCAGTCGTCATGGTGTCAATCGTCGACGCGCAGCGAGAGATCCTTCTGGACCCGATCGGCACACAGGTCTGGGTAAGCACAGTTATTACTTCGACGCGATGTGGTGGGGATAGCTGACCAATTTCGACCTGTCAGTCTGGTCAATATGTGCAGAGCTTGAATAGCGCAGCTGTGACATGGTCCATGGCAAAGCAGTTGTACTCCCCGAGTGGCCCCTACTTCATCGTTCCCATGGGACTGGTAATAGGCATCGGGCCGACCGTGCTTCAGTGGTTCATCGGCAAGGTGAGCGCGGTCTCCGAGTTTGTAACGGCGTACACGACAGCTGACCGCGACTTGGCAGCGCTGGCCCAAGATCGGGCCACTGAAGGTGAACGACATCCTGCTGCCGATCATCTACTCGTACATGCAGTACATGAGCTCGGGCACGACGTCGCCGGTCCTCACGACGATCATTGTCGGGGCGCTCTCGCAGGTGTGGCTGCGCCGATACCACCCGGGGTGGTACAAAAAGTACAACTACATCCTGGGCGGGGCGCTTGACGGCGGCGCGCAGGTGATGATCTTTATCCTCTCGTTCGCCGTCTTCGGCGCGTCGGGCAAGAACCGGCCCTTCCCGGCGTGGGCGGGCAACCCGGCCAAGGGTAATGTAGATTATTGCAACGGGAACGGCGCGCTAGACTGAACCTGTAGTTATAAGGAAATAAAATAGCACAATTTCTCGGTTTACTGGGGGCGCGGCGCAGCCACGTGGCAATATTACCCGTCGTGTGGAGTGAGCGCCTGTCCCGAGCTCCGCCTTGCTCTCTGCGACGACCATCTCCGTCCGGCTCTGGTCCTCTTGCAAGGATCTTACCCGGTACGACGACGACCGCTTTGATTTTCTCCTGCGTCCACGCTTGCTTGGGCAGAGGACATCAGTCGACCGCATTGTCACGCTTCGTTGCTACGTAATTGCGCCAATATCTTACACAACACAGCCTCCGCCGTGTCTCAACAGGCGAATTCACAAATCATGACATCGGTAGATGCGGATGCTACGTGAGTACGCGCTCACTGCACGCGACTGGATGTCTAACGATGCGGCAACAGCGTCGTGGTCCGACCCAAGGCCCCTGAGCACGAGCTCACCGCGGTGGAGAGAGCGCGCAAGACACTTGAGGACGAAATCGACGCGCACAAGAAACAAGTCATCCAAAAGACGCGTGAGCTGAACAAGCTCGTCAGCACCGCGCGTCTCCCTCCCGAGCTGCTCACGGAGATCTTCATGCACTACGCCGTGGGCAACCGCTACCTCTCCCACTATGGCTGCATGGTCGGCGACTCTTACGCGCGCGAACGCTCAAAACGCTGGATCAAGGTCGCCCATGTTTGTCATCATTGGAGAGAGGTTGCACTCAGCTCGCCGAGGTTGTGGAGCGAATTCACCGTGGACAGACTTGAATGGACACAGGAAATGCTTGCCCGTTCCAAGCACGCCCCGCTGCACCTTACGATCACGGGCGTACGCGCAGATCCTGAAGCCGTCAAGTTGGCAATAAAGCAGCTACCCCGCATTCAGTCCCTCGTGTTCAGGATGGGTTCCATGGAAAGTCTCGTTAGCCAGCTCGAGCTAGGCGGTGAAGCACCGCTGCTCAAGTCGCTTACCGTCTCATCTACTCGTCCGACGTTCCTCTCCGTCTCTCAAGATTCTGAGATTTTATTCGACAAAGTTAGCCTTCCACAGCTGACACAACTCGAGCTCGTGGACACGCGAGTCTCATGGCACAATCCGATATTCAGGTCGACTCTCACTCACGTGACTTTCCGGTCTAGCGATACGTTCTACGAGTATCAGAACGCCAGTATCCACAGTGTTCTGCGAGCGCTCGAGAACATGCCTGCTCTCCAGACACTCGACCTCAAAGGCGTACTCCCGTTGCTCCCAGAGGACTCCCCGCCGCTCATCGACGATCTCATGATTAACTTGCCTCAGCTGCGAAGTCTAGTCCTTGGAGCGCCAGCCAAGACCACTGCGTTCATCCTGCAGCACATCGCATTCCCTGCAAATACGACGCTCCAGCTTGATTGCTCGGACTATAGACCAAGCGAAGTCACCCATCTTTGCCCCGTCCTCAGCTCCAAGCTTTGCCCAGACCCTGAAAACGGCGTTATCATATCTCCTCTGCTCACTCTCAGCGTCAGCGAAATTGCAATCAAAGCTTGGAGTGAGGAGTACTCGATGTCTGTGCTCGATCCCACTCCCCTGGCCATGCTACCTGCCACAACAAAGCCCAGACTCTACATATCCCTCACGCGCGTCCCCGTATGCACCTCGATGTCGTTCTTCAGCGCGATTTTGGCTGCTCTGCCTCTTGCAAGTGTGCGCACGATGCATTTCACGTCGAGCGGCTTTGTAATGGACAAGAAGGAATGGCTCCGGACGTGCGAGGGCATGGTCGGGCTCAAGGAGCTCGGCGTGAGCCAGTATGGCGAGTCGGGCCTGCCCGAGGCCCTTGGGAGCCGCGTGCCCGTCCCGGGGCGCGCGGCCGCCACCGCCCGCGCCTGCGCAGGGCTCGTCGAAGAAGCCGCGGCGCAAGATGCAGCAGTTCCTGCCGAGCCTGCGCACGCTGCACCTTACGGGCGTCCGCGTCCGGCGCACGCCGCCCGACGTCGGGGACGACGACGGCGTCGTGCCGCACTACCTCCGGATGCTCGCCGCGCGGCGCCGGTCCAAGGTGCCGCTCGCGCTGCGGCTGCGCGAGTGCGTGAACGCGAGCCGGGAGGACGTCGAGCGGCTCCGGAAGGACGCGGCAAGCGTCGAGTGGGACGAGGTCCTCGAGTGGATCGACGAGGACGAGTTTGACGAGGACGAGGACTTTTACGACGACGAGGAAGAGTTCTATGACCCGTACTCGGACGACGAGCCGCCGCTCTTCTTCTTCCCGTGGTGATTTCCGCTTCCCTCGCGATTCGTGAATTCCTGTGCCGCTGTTTTGCATGTAATGTGTACATCGCATCGACTTCCGGTCATTCCAAACTGGGGTGTACCGGACAGCAACTATAGTAGTTAAGTTAGTGTCGTCTCAGTTTTAGCTTGTATAGTTCCTAATTTTATTCCTCTAACGGCAGCCGGCTTTAGCCTCATGCACAGGGTGCGCGTTTTTATGAACATGTAGTATATGCAGAATTTGGGTGCGTGGTACAAGCGTGAACACGTCGTATGCGCGCTCATGTGGATCGCTTCCGTTAACAATGCAACCTTTGTTCTACATTTGACGAGGCCCTACGCGAATACGCAGCCAACAACCATATTTTGCCTGTTCCGAGGGGCAGGGCTTTGTGGGGGCTACGTGTCTCACCACAACAATAGATACCATACAGCTCACAGGCTCTACACCTGATCGCCCGCGGCGGACTGCCAGTAGCGCGGTAGCGTACAAGAATTTCACTGCAAGCTGTGAAGTGTGTGCTCGAGCAACGTGATCCTCCCCGCGGTCCGCTCACGCATGCTGCATGCGAACGGCTTCGGGTGTCTGTTTGCGAACATCAGCAGTCCGGCGCAGGAGGCGATAGAGAGAAGAGTGGACACGCACGGCACGTGGTCGTCTGTGAACGCAATGGGCGGCGCATCCATCTTGCCCGCGGCGTCCTTTGCGGGGACGATGTCGAAGGCGAACAGGAGGTGGATGACGTTCAGGTACACGGAGGCGAGGCCGAGGGGGTACCCAGGGCAGGAGCTGGTTGGGTTATTTTCAGTGTAGGAGAACTTGAACGTGCACCCGGGTGCTGGGGAACTCACCGTGGCCCGAAGCTGAAGACTATGTCCAGGGGGTCGTCCTGGGGGCGCTTTCCTACGCCCATCTCGAACCGCTCAGGCACGAACAAGTCGGGGTCTGGGTACCTCGTCTCGTCGTGCGTGAAGCCCCTATGCATGATTTGGTCAGGTCTCCGGCCGAATGACGCGTCATCACAGGACGCACCAGATGTTCGCCATCACCCACGTCCCCTTCGGGATGAAGTATCCCTCGAAAAGGTCGTCTTCGTGCAGGCTGTGTGTCGCGATGGGTACGGCAGGATTGAACCGGAACAGCTCCTTGATGACGCAATTGACGTAGGGGAACTTCTCGCGGTCCTGCATGCCGGGGACCCATGCGCCGCCCTCTGTCACGCGGTCGATCTCCTCCTGGGCCTTCTTCTGCACCCAAGGGTAGTGAAGCATCAGGAGGATGAACGTGCTAATCATGGCGCTGGTCTGGGAAGGGTGTTAGAAGAGTGATGAGAGTGGTGTGCACTGATGTGTGAGCTCACCGTGTCTGAACCGCCTGCGCTTCGTGATAGAGCCCTTAGCTGCCAAGCCCACAAGATACACTGCAGTACACACCAGAATACAGCGATGTCGCCGCAACGCGAAGTTCCTTCTCGTCTTGCGCAGTAAGAGGCTCGACGGTCCCAGGCTCCAAGAGGTTTTCGGCGACCCAGCATGGCGAAATCGTGATATTCCCTGCGTCCTGCGATAAAATGTACAGTTGATTCTACGAGGATATAAGAGACATGGCGTACGATATTTTGCTTTATGGTTGCGTATGGCAACCAGGAGAACTCGTCCATACGAGCCCTCGCACGCTTAGCCCAGCGTTTGAAGCCAGCACCGGGGAGCCATGCTGGGACATGCCGCACTGGAGGCACATTCAATACGCTGTGGAAAAGAGGCAGGGAGAACGTACATACACAATGGGAAAGTGTCTACGAGCCACTTTCCGGGCTCGATCGCCTCGGTCATGAGATGCGCGTGGTCTGCGGCGAGGCGGACCAGCGGGTCGTCCTTGTTTTTCACCTCGATTCCATAGAGAAGACGTGTGATGAGAGATGTCGCAGCCCTGGCGACATGGGTTAGCGTAGACTTTCACGTCGGGTTCGAATGGGTCCCGCACCATCTAGTCAGTTCCAACACATCTGTAGGCGTGCGTTGCACGCTCAGCACGAATTTTAACGACTCGATCTCCTGTACTTCCCAGTACTTGGACGCCGTTTTCCGGTGGACGAACGTCCTGACGAGCTGGCGACTCTTCTTGAACTCGGGACCGTAGTTCATGAAGAGCATTGTGTCGCGCTTCATGATCTCTTGAGCCATCACCTAGCAAAATTTGTTGAGCATTGCGCCAAAAGCAGGCATGCCATGACGAACCAGCCGCGGCCGGTGAGAATAGGTGGCCCTGCGCTTAATAAACATCGCTTGGGCAAGCTCTAAAGAGTTGATTACCACGAAGCATTTGTTAAACGAGCGCATGTGGCATATGGGACCTAAGATACGAAATAAGGGTATCAGTGCCACCAGATTATTAGAGGACAGCGAGTTACCATAGCGGTCCGACAAAGCCGCGAACGCCTTGGGGAGATCTTTTCGTGGTAGCTGAAAGAGATTGCCCACAAGTGGCAGTGCGGACGGTCCCGGAGGAAGATGTGCTCGGCTTCCGCGCTTGCTGAGGCTAAGTAGGATAGCTCCGAGAATCAGTGCGAAACTGAGCAACACCGAGAGTATCAGTGGGTCTGTAGGTATCACGAGCATTGGAAGGGACGTGGCGGGAGCGAGACCGGAACCGAAAGCACATGTCATTGCGACCTACTTATACCTTAAACAACCATTCAAAGTAGAACCCAGGGTCCCCTCTCCACGGCATTAGTGCCCTAGACATGACGAATGGGTCTCGTCGGTACAAGCCATCAACACCCTGGGCACTGAGTGCGTTAGGGCCGCGGCTGATCGAGACGGGGTCAATGCTGGACGGGCAGATATAAGTAGACCCCCCCACAAGTCTCCTCCGCTCGCGAGCCTCCCTATGAGGCGAGGAACCGGCGTTGAGGCGGAAGACGCCGACGGCTTGGGCGTAGTACCACGGACCCGCACCCCTATAACCTCGCCTGTACAAGGACCTTCCTGAGGCCACGGACTCGCTGGGCCACTGCTGTCAAGGTACATCCGATGATGTAGGAGCTTGAAATGCTGAAAGAGTAGCGCCTCACCGCTACTGGCCGCACTTGCCGCTGTCTGAGAGCATCGAATATTGAGATGCTGCGCTCAAGGGATGTCGACGAGGCCTGATGTCGATTTACCAACGAAGTTCAGACGGCATTTTTGAACTGGTGAGATTGTGTTGAGAGCAAGACATCGACATAGTCAAAGCAGAACAAAGCGCCATGAACTCGGAGTCGTTACTCGGAACAGGAACATTCCGACTGTATACGACCGTTCGCCAGTCCCATCATGTGCAGTGACACAGGTCAGTTCTACGAACAGGGCCTCGACTGAGGAAAATGTACTACTGTGTGAGATGATAAGAAATCTGAGGGCCTAGTGTTGCATGTAGCAATACAGACTCGGGGGTGTTCAGAGTCCATGCGCGTTTCACCCGCCCGCGCTTCCGACACCCTGAAGTTTTGCGCGCGATCCCATAAGCTGTCGTGCATGGCTGACGGGGGCCAGAGCCGCAGTGTGGAACGCGACGCCAACGATGACTCTGTGACTGTTGAACGTAAATAACCGTCATCTAACCATTGTGGAGCTCCTGCAGGACTAGTTCATGTAAGGTAGCTAAGCACAGGTACACTGCGGTTTTTTTTGGGGGAGCGATACGAGCAATACAAGCAGTGTTGAATAAACATCGGCTCTTATAACTACGCGCGGAATATACAATCAAGTCATACAGTACAAGTAGCGTTAAGTAAAGATAAGTCCTTCTCGCACGCGAGATATATACAAACGAATCATGCACCATCTCCTTTTCGCCTTTCGAGACCCACAAAACCTACATCCTTTCTGCCACATTAGAGGAAGTCGATCCCGACACTCGAAGACGAGACCGTGACGGAAGAAATAACGGTGTGGCCCGGCTCCATGTCGAAAATGGCCGCGTCAGAGACGCCGACAGGGCCTGAGAGCGTCTCGGCAGACACATCAGTGAAGTCGACCGTGCCAAAGTCGACAATGGGGGCGAGGGTGGTGGTACCATTCTCGAAGAGGCCCTGTACGGTCCACTCTACGTCCGCCCCACACATAGAGCCGGTATGGATGTGCTTGGAGGCGGTCTGGCCCGTGCTCTGGTTGATAATAAACGCTGTGCCCGACGTCGCGTTCGTCGCGGTCGCCGCGGTGATGTTCACCGTGACGATGTCACCCGCCGCGAAGCTGATGTCCGAGAAGTTGAAGGCTTCGCCAGAAGGGAAAATCTCGTAAAAGGCTGCGAGAATACGGACGGTTTGTCAGCATGCGAGGAGGAGGGCAAGGAGGGCGGACTGACCAGTGAAGCTCGATGAATCATTTTGGAGAGTGAGGTCGATACCAACCGTGAGGGCGTTCTCGCAGCTGATGGCGCCAAGGCCGACCCTGGGCGGATGCAGCGTAGAGTTTACTGGGGTCCTTGCCCTCAGGCACACTAAGCGTCGGAATCATGAACGACCCCGTGACGCTCGAGAAAGTGCCCTACGCGGAAGTCAAGCCTGTCAGCACACGCAACACACAGAGACATAAGAGAAGGTTCACCTCAGTCGCATTCAAGAAAGCGCCAGCCGTTGCTGTCACATCGATGACGGTGTTGTTCGAAGCTGTCGAGCTGCGCGCGCGGCCGGAACGACGGGTGTTGCGGACCTGGTGAAAGCTCTTGAGGGGCGGCCGCGAGACAACGGTCGTGTCAGCAACTACATCCAACTGGACTGAGCTACGACAAAGCTGAGGAGCAAAGCGAGAGG